TAGAACTTTCTACACAGCCCCGTTATATGGCAAACTAGCTAATAAACCAGGCTCCAGAGTCAGACTCCTCGGATGCACATCTCTGCCTGGACGCTTTATAGCTGTGTGATTTCAAATCAAGTTACTGAGCCTCTCTCTCCCTTGTAAAGTTGGCATCAATATAGTACCTACCTGGATAATGATTAAATCAGATAATAGTTGCAAACTGTAGAAGTTTAGTGCCTGGCATAGAATCAGTCTGAAATTAATGATGACAACAAACACATCTCTAAAGTGCTTACTATGTGCTGAGCTCTCAACATTTACATCCATCACCTCCTCTAAACTTCCCAACAAAATTATGTGGCAGGTATTATTATACTCTTAGGAAACGGCAGCACAGAGAGGTTGAAAAACTTATCAAAGTTTACACAGTAAATAGCAGAACCCAGAATATACTAACCGCATCTGTCTCTACTGTCGGAGCCCTGAACTACTGTACTGTCACACAGGGTCTCTCATGACTTTTCTGTCATCAACACTGAGTCTTTCCATGTATCACGTGCCATTTAGAATGTTTGACACGAATGAACTCACTGAGTCTTCACACCAACCCATGAGTCGATCTTCTTAAGTTTCTAGTACATGCTTACATTAATACAACAAGGGGACAAAACAAAGGAGGAGACAGTGCAGGGAGGGGGTCTCAGCTACAGTGAAAGGTGAAGTGAGATAAAAACAGAACATTAGGAATGACCCGAGAACCACCCTAAACAGAAAATGGCACTCAGCACCTCCAATGAAAAGGAATCTGTGACTTATGGCACAGGGTAGGCAACAAAGGTAAAACGCCATTTTGCCAGCTTCAGAATGTTGTTGAAGAGCTGGATCATTATAGCAATTTGCAGGAGGAGGTACAGCATAGTAGAAAGGTTGGGCTATGAAGTCGAGCATTGTCTCTTCATTTACCAGCTATGTGTTTTTCAGGAAATCACTCAACTTCTCTGAGCCTTGGATTTTCATTCAGTACAGTGGGAATAGTAATACCTAATATGTAGAGTTTTTTTTTATTTTTTTTGATTCAGAGTCTCACTCTGTCACCCAGTCTGGAGTGCTATGGCACAGTCATGGCCCACTGTAGCCTTGACCTCCTGGGCTCAAGCCATCCTTCTACCTCAGTCTCCCAAATAGCTGGGACTATAGGCGCATATCACCACACTCAGAATGTTGTGTGTGTGTGTGTGTGTGGTTTTTTTTTTGAGCTGGAGTCTCACTCTGTCACCCAGGCTGGAGTGCAGTGGCATGCTCATGGCTACTGCAGTCTCGACCTGCTGGACTCTGGTGATCCTTCCACTTCAGCCTTCCAAGTAGCTGGGACTACAGGTGTGTGCCATCACACCTGGCTAATTTTTTGATTTACTGTAGAAATGAGGTCTCAGCAAGTTGCCCAGACTGGTCTCAAACCTGTGGGCTCAGGAAATGCCCTCACCTCCCATAGTGCTGGGACTATAGGCTTGAACCACCACGCCTGGCTAATTTTTTTGTTTGTTTGTTTTTTGTAGATACAAGGCCTCACTATGTTGCCCAGGCTGGTCTCAAATTCCTGGGCTCAAGCTATCCTCCCAACCACAACACCCAGCCTTGAAAATTAAGAGAGATTTTTAGAGCCATGCACAGTAACTAGCACAGAAGAGACAATAAATATCAGTTCCCTTGTACAGCACAGTGTGTGATAAACTAAGGCCAATTTGTGGATGTTTATAGTATAAGTAAATTGCATACTCTTCAATGTAGGGGGAAATTGAAGAGATATGTCCCCCATATTGTCATCTTGATCTCCTGCCTAGTAATGAATATCAGAATATTCTGCTAAGAGCAGAGAAAAGCAAAATACTTTTTCTTCTGATTTACCTCTGAGACAAAGAAAACTTGGTTGTATGTTTGTCCAGATTGCTATCCTGGAGGGTTTTTCCAACATATGTCCTTGGGGATAGCCCAGAATGCAAGTCTGACAACAAAGTAAGATTCCAGATATTCAATCTTGGACACATCTTCAAGTCTTTAGAAACACTTCCAGATGACATCACTCACTTGGTTCGTTATTACTCGGGGGTTTGATTAGAGTTTGAGCTTTTCCAAATCCCAAATTATTGAACAATCCAAGCATACAAAATAGTCACTTTTTCCTATTAATGGTATTTTAAAATCTCTGTATAAAATGCTTAACTGCTGTCTCATAATTTGGGGGCTTTTTTTTTTTTTCAATATCACATTGCTTAATACCTTGTTTTCCAAAGATCTTCACTGACGGTAAATTATTATTTGTGCAATAGAATTATAATTCTGAAAGAATATGTTTTGTACTGTGATTGATGGAAAATACACTTTTAACTTGCAGGGCAAGACCAATTTTCTAACACTTCAGTTCTATTTGCTCAAATGCATTAGTGGTATAAAGCACCAATTATGGCTAATAACAGCATTATTCTTACCTCAGTAAGTACTTGGTTTGGTAAAGCTTTAAGGACTCTCAACTCTGGCAATCAATTTTTTTAACTACAGGAAAGAGCTGATTTCATATAGATTATTACCTTAATGTCATATAAGTGGTACTCAATATACATTTACATATACCTTTATTAAGCTTGCCAGAGAAAACATACTCTAGAAGCCATATTTGTATAATATCACAGTTATCAAGGTCTGAGCTCACATTTCCCATCCCCTTTGCCCCCAGATCTTTCAGGTTCTATATTAAATTAATGACATACTCAGTAAAAAAATCACAAAAATGGGGGGTTATGCAAATTAGCCTCAATAGGAGATTATATGGGAGACTTTAGTCCCAGCATGTTCTAGTCTAAAGGTAATAAATTGTATCTTGTTTTTTAGACCCCATGACTCAACTATCTCTCCACCCAAAAACTGAGCATCTTCCAAAATGTCTCTGATCCCTTAACTCTCTATCTGGCCAGAAGTCAAGGTGTAATTCATATTTTAAATGTCTTTTGAATCTTTACTTTCCATCCTATTGCCCTAGCTTCAGTCTTCTCCTGTTTAATATTACAATCAAAAGTTTTCCTACTTTACAAGGGTTTGAAATACAAATTAAGAACATCACAGAACATGCACACTAACAGATGGCAATTGTGGTCCTTTGGACATAAAACCAAACAGATCCAGGCAGGGCACCTTTCAGAGACCTCAGCTAAGAAACTTTTCTATTTCTATTGCTTTCTCATCTATGCAAGCTCTCTAGAATGCAAATATGATTGCATTCCTCTGCTTGAACACTCCTCTGAATTGTGCTTGTCTATAAAGAAAGTCCAAGTTCAGTCTGTAGCCATACTACCCTGAATGTGTCCGATCTCATCTGATTTTGGAAGCAAAGCAGGGTCAGACCTGGTTAGTACTTGGATGGGAGAAAGTTCAAGTTCAAAAAATATTGACTGAATCCAATCCAGAGACAGAAACTCATATGGTCTGATACTCTAGAACATATTATCTTAGACCACCCGCCCCCACCAAGAAATTGACTTGTAGATTTTCCAAAGTTACTATTGCAATTGAGTAATTTTTGTCTTTTCCAAAAGAATTAAACTCTTTCCTCCTTATAGTTCTATAACCTTGATGTTATAGAAATCTGTAACATCAAGGTACTTTTTTGATTAGATAGCTTTCTAGCTTTAACCACAAGTATTATAAAGTGAGCCGTTCTGAGGCCTGAAGCCGTATCTGTAACCTTGGTTTATGGAGTCCTAATTAAGTCAAGCACCAGCAAGTCCCGCCATGAGTGACGGATGAAGACACACACAGAAAAGAAACAGGCCTTGTCCTTTTCGAAGTTCAGTCTGCCTGGGAAACACAAGTAAAATTATCTGAAGTGATAAGTATAATTAGAGCAACATGAAAGGAGCTGCAGGAGCATCAAGAGGGGTTTTACCAAGCAGAGAAGACAGAGAAAGCAGGCCAAGCAGAACATGTTGCCCAAGCAAAGGGAGGATGACTACACACTGGGCGCGTCAAGGGTAAAAACGAACTTCATATAGGTCAGAAAAGGTAAATATCCACTCTCATATTTGGGATTTTCACATGAAAACTTTACTGTTAATTCTGTTATGGTTGTTTTCTTTATCCAACAGGACTCGTTTCCATTGCCAATCTGATGACTTATTTTGACATCAGAACAAGAACGGAAAGCATTCTCAGAGCAGACTGCTACCGCTATCACCTTGTTAAGCTCAATGACTCATCTTGCTAGTATAGACCAGAATCTCTAGGTACAAAACCTCAGAATAAATTCAGAATTCATTTTTGCCAGGATTTTCTTTTCATGTGAACTTCAACACTCAATGCCCAGTCTGTGTGGGGACCTTAAGCGCTAACAGTAGGAATTTGTTATAAGAAGCATAAAGGCAAGTTCTTAAAAAAATGGAACACAACTACATATCTCTCATTTTCATCTTACTTATGCTGCTGTAAAGAGGACTGTCCCCTTCCTGCCCCCCCAAATAAAAAGCGCTGAGGAAATTCTTAATTAGCCAGAGGGAATGACAATTGGGTGTATACAGACAGTTAAAATCCTTAGGTAATGCTCAAAGTCTAAATTTACCAAGAGGTTTCATCCCCCTACCTCACAAAAGCTTTTATAACCACTACTAAAATGGGAGAAAACTTAATGCTGTGAATTGATCCCATATTTCTTCCTGTGTTATTTACTCCAAGTGCTCAAAGCTACAGGCTACAGAAACACAGTTATTACAATGGAAGGAAAGCATACAAGGAATCCTTAAGGAGGGAAGCACCTCTAAATTGGATTACCAGTCCCTGAAGAACTGAGATGAGATAGAAGTCGACGCCCACCCTGGATCTGAACAGAAATGCTTTTTCACTGAAACGCGAGGTGGTAGGATATCTCAAATCCTACCCACTGCCATCACTTTTCCACATTTTTAAATCATCTCGCCTCATGCTCCCCTTCCCTGAACAGGAGCTAAACAAACCTGGATGGTTTTACTTACAATTGTGAAGTTCATGACTTTGAGGATCCAGATGGTCATGGCCAAGTTCACCAGTATTAAAATCATGAGGAAAAGAACAAAGAAATACAGGCATCTTTTCCGCCAGCCGTAAATCCCCACCTTGTATACCTGTGGCCCCTCAGAGCCAGGCATGGCGCTCCGGTGGTGAGTATACTGTTCCTGAGGCATCTGAAATAAACGAGGCGAGAGAGAAGCACTCACATTAAACTGCTGAGAGAAGAAAAAAAAAAAAAAAAGGAAAAAAAAAAATCAACTGATGAAGAGATATGGCTGGCTGCTGTCTGGACGTTTACACCCTCCTGACAACTCTAAAAATCTGCTTCCGCTGGACAAAAGAGGCTCTTCTGGACGCCTGCTTGAGCCCTCTGGTTTTACACAGCCATCTCTTCTGACGTACACTGAGATGGACACATTCACACATACACTGGGGGGGAAGAGACTCCTGGGAAGCCATTTTCCAAATGACTCAGAATTCCAACATCTTTGTGAGGGAGACCCTCAAAGACCTATCAAAGGCCTGAAGGTAAAATTTAGAATTACACTGAGAAAATAAATTCACTGCAGCAGTTCATCTTGGTAGTATAAAAATATTATTCAGGAAAAATTTATTTGGGAAAGGTTAAAAAAAATCTCAAATGTAATCATTCTGTAGTACCAGACAGTGGCCAATGTAAAAGTTTTGACCTTTCCTCTATTTCAGATTTTAAAGAAGTCTTAGTGAAAACACAACTCAAGTCTCACTTGATTCGGGAATTTTCAACAAGTGATAGTCCAGCAGACACCTAAGTACCCTCAGAGCTAGTCCTTGTGAGTTAGGCAATTTTAATTGTTAACAATCAGCTCATTTAAGAACTATAAAGCCTATAATCCCAGCACTTTGGGAGGCCGAGGTGAAGGGACTGCCTGAGCCCCTGGGTTCGAGAACAGCCTGGGCAACTTGGCAAGACCTCGTCTCTACAATAAATCAAAAAATTAGTTGTGCATGGTAGCACGCGCCTGTAGTTCGGGCTACTTGGAAGGCGGAGGTGGAAGGATCACCAGAGCCCGGCAGGTCGATGCTGGGGTGGCCATGATTGTGCCACTGCACTCCAGCCTGGGCAACAGAGTGAGACTCCAACTCAAAAAAAAAAAAAAAAAAAAAAAAGGAACATAAAAGAGAATTGAAGTCAAGTAAGATGTGAACATCCCTTCCAGCAGTTTTGAGGGCTAATGAGAGGCTGAACTAGTTAAACACTGATCACAGTAGGGTAAGAAAAGTTAGAAAAATATTTGTCAATATATTATAAAGCAATGTGTTGATCTCTTTTAAAATGAGAAAGCTTTACCAAATGCCTGCTGTTGACACAAATTATCTTTATACTAGCATTACTAATTAGGTACCAACACAGATCTAGATAATGACTTCTATAAAATTCTAAAACCAAAACAAATTTTAAAATTAAATATAAATAAAACTTACAAAATGCATACTCAAAATAGAAAATGATAGAATACTATGATGGATGATGATTTGGTGAAAACTAAATTGCATACACGTGACCCCAGGGACTCTGGCATGCGGTCTTCTGAGTACAGCTCAGAAAACTCTGCTATGAGACATGTGACAGCAGGACCCCTACTGCCTTTCTCTATTCAGATAACTGCATAACCATTATTTTGGCATTTTTACTTCATTTGGCCCTCATGCAGCCATACGGCATTTTCCCTACAGATAAGGCCTGCTCTGTTTATTTTCTTCTTAGCCAATAGCAATTAAATTAGTGATATGGGGTGCCAAAGTGACCATAATGACAAACCAAAATGCGAGCCCTAAAATCACGCTTGGTTATTAAGTCTTCTTCCAGATGGTTCAGAATATGATTATTTTATGGTTTTTAGATAATCATCAAAATGTACACATAAAATCTAAAAATCCCCCAGAGAACTCACGGCTGTTAGGCATCAGTGGAATTCCATTTGAAAAACTGAGTGGATTTTTCCTCATGGTCAACTAAAATGCTTCATGAAGACCTACATGGCATCTGGTTCACTCTAAACATTACCCTGGTGCCGAAATCAGCACCTAATACTAGGATATGTCAGAAAATGTGTGTGGAATGAACGAATGAAAAAAAATGCATACATGATGACCACATGAATGACTTCCCATCTGCTACTAGGTCGGCTGCTGTCTAGGGGTATACAAAAGCCCAAGCCAAACACCTTGGGGGAGTTCTTGTTTGTATACTTGCAAATTTCCACGTCAGTTTCCCAAAGCACTGGGTTCCAGCCAAGCAGTGAACTTTATGCTATAAGACGATCTCAGTTTTACATTTCAGCTTCTGACAATTCTTCTGTGATACAGGGATGGGTTGTAAGAAGATGGAAACACAACAAAAGTCATCCATCACTGGCCTTTTTATACATTAGAGCAAATAAAAGTGAGCAGACTTTTTTTTGAGTTGAGTCCCACTCCGTCGCTCAGGTTGAAGTGCAGTAGCATGCTCACTGTCAACCCAGTGTCGACCTGCTGGGCTCAGGCAATCCTTCCGCCTCAGTATTCCAAGTAGCTGGAACTACAGGCACATGCAACCGTGTCTGGCTATTTTTGATTTATTGTAGAGATGAGGTCTCACCAAGTTGCTCAGACTGGTCTCAAACCCACGCGCTCAGGCAGTTCACTCGCCTTGACCTCCCAAAGTGCTGGGATTACAGGTTGAGCCACTGAGCCTGGCCTAGCAGACTGTTTCATAAGACTGAAGGAAGTCAGGCCTTTATATTCCATTAAATCATATTCTGTGAATTAAGGAAATGATCACAGAATCTTAGAATCACGCATGCAAGCTCCTTTGATTTCAATCAACTAATTTTATGAGTGAGCCAAATTAGGATTAGAGACATCAACCCATTTGCACAGGGCTACAGATTTTGTGGTAGGACAAGGTCAAGGACAAGAATCGACTATTCTATAGACCTGACGACCAATGAGAAACTCTTTACACTTAAGGATACAGAAGTTAGTGATGCTGTCACTACATTAAGTTGCCTTTTCTCTGTCGTTTACCACAACCAATGATGTCATTACATAACTCAGCTATAAAATGAAAATGACATATTTAATAAATATTTATAAGAAGATAAGGATATGGGTATCATGCTTGTGATCTTTCTCATACACAGATTGTTAGAATTTGGCAGAATGTAGTGATTATCTTGACTAGAGTTTCTCAGTCCTGGATGCATATCAGCGTCACTTGTGGAGTTGTCAAAAAAAATCTTAATTTGACTGGACGTGTTTGCTCAGACCTATGATCCCAGTATTTTGGGAAGCCAAGGCAGGAAGATTGCTTGACACCAGGAGTTTGAGAACAGCATGGGAAGCATAGTGAGACATCGTCTCTTAAAAAAGAATTTAAAAAATTAGCCATGTGTGGTGGCTCATGCCTATGTTCAAAGCTCCTCAGAAGGCTGAGGTGGGAAGATTACTTGAGCACAGGAGACTGAGGTTGCAGTGAGCCACGATCATATCACTGTACTTTGGCCAAAGTGACAGGAGACCCTGTGCTCCCAGAGAACAAAAACAACCACCACAAAATCTACACTCTGGTTAATTAAATAACAATCACAGAGATGGCACCTAGGCAAAAGTACTTAATTTTTTTTTTGAGTTAGAGTTTCACTCCGTTGCCCAGGCTGGAGTGCAGTGGCACGCTCATTGCCAACTCAGCGTCAACCTGCTGGGCTCAGGCGATTCTTCAGTTCTCAGCCTTCCAAGCAGCTGGAACTACAGGCATGCACTACCATGCCCAGCTAATTTTTTACTTATTGTAGAGACAAGTAGTACCTACGAGGTCTCACTAAGTTGCCCAGGCTGATCTCAAACCTGTGGGCTCAGGCAGTCCACTCACTTCAGCCTCCCAAAATGCTGGGATTACAGGCTGAGCCAACAAACCTGGCCAGAAATTAAAGTCTTAAGCCCTTACTTGGGCAAGTCCCTTTAAGGCCTTTGGAGAGGTTTTATCATGGTCATACATTTTCTTTTTTTAACTGAAAAAAGATGTTTTAATTGCAACTAGCTAAACCCTGTCTTTTTGACTCTGATTACCACTCATGTTGGGTGGCTTTGGAAGATTTACATGCATTTTAGAGAACTAAGAGGCCGTTGAATCAGGGCTCATATAGTTTGGATGCAGTAGATGATACTTATAGGGTTTGCAACCCTTCCATGTAGAGGTACATGATTGCAGGCTCTCCTGGTATAGGCATGTCTTCCAAGAATACTCCTTCACCCATGGCACCAACTCGCCAAGCATGGTGACATGAAGAACAGGACCAAAAGACACATTACAATGTAAATGTGACGTGCAAATGCCAGCACCAGTAATATGTGGTTAGCAGAGGAGCCAGAAGTCAGTGGAAAGTTGTTTTTATAATCATCAGGTATGCACAATTTCAGGTGTAGAATTCAACTCTAATTGATGCCTAGCCAAAACAGGAATTCTCTACTGTCAAGAATCTACTCCAGCCGGGTGCAGGGGCTCGAATCTGTAATCCCAGCACTTTAGGAGGCAGAGACAAGATTGCCTGACCTCAGGGGTTTGAGACAAGCTTGAGCAACATGGTGAGACTTTGTCTCTACAATAAATCAAAAAATAGCCAGGTATGGTGGTGCACACCTGTAGTTCCAATTACCTGGAAGGCTGAGGTAGAAGGATCTCCTGAACCCAGTAAGTAAAGGCTGTGGTGGCTGTGAGCATGTCACTGCACTCCAGCCTGGGTGACAGAGTGAGACTCTGGCTGAAAAGGAAAAAACATATATACTCAATTCAGTATATAAAATTATAAATACTACACATATGCTTTCTTTTTTCATGGTAATCATGGAAAAAAAATAATCGAAATGTGTTTACAGGTTATGCACACAATGTGTTTCTCTATGTCAAGTTGTGTGCCTTATATATCACAACCAACAATATTTTAAAAGTTCTGAATTAGTTGGGCATATTAGCATGCACCTGTAGCCTCAGCTACTTGGGAGGCCAAGGCAGAAGGATTGCCTGAGTTGAGGAGGTTAAGGCTGCAGTGAGCCATGATCATGCCTCTACAATCCAGTCTGGGCAACAGAATGAGATCTTGACTCAAAAAATAAAAATAAATAAAAATAATAAAAAGTAAAAGTTCTGTCAAAA